AGGCTGGCCACTGATGTTTACAAATGGGTCCTGGTACAAAATAGGTTGAGAACCACTGCTCTAGCTAATGCCTAACTGGCGCTGAGTAGCATAGTTTTATCACCTCCTAACTCTTACATCCAATTCCCCTGTTGCAGCTCAATTATAACCCCCCAAATCCTCCTCAGTAATGCCATTGCCCAGCCAGTTATCTCCTAACTTGACTCAGATAGCCAAAGACCTAGATCAATAGAAACTTGACAGACTTATGAAGATACCCCAAGAAAAGTCTCCTACACCTGCTCTGCATTGGTGCCTGGAGCACAGAACCAATGTGCTGCCTGGTTGTACCTAGAAGTTTCTGTTTGATGTTCCTCAAGAAGTGGCTGTGGCACGTCTGTGGGTGGGAGGGAGAGGGAGACAGGTTGCAGCCACTCTGTCACTCTGTCCTACTGCCCCTGGGATGGGGCCCCTTGTCACTGCTTCCTTTGTTATAGTTCCTTGACGCAGGCTCTCTTTGTAAACTATTTCAAGGCTGTCTTTGCTCAAGAAGTTGCTTAGCTGTTGGCAACAGTGGCTTTGTCTATAGAAACAAGCGAAGCTAACAAACTATTGTACTGTACGCTAAGGTATCTTACAATGCTTTATATGCTTCACTTCACTTCAGTCTAGCAGGGCTTATTTTAATCAAGGTTTTAGCCCTTCGTACTTCTTTTCTGCTAATGCACTTGACTGTGTATAACAAGGGCTTGGACCAAGCTGTCAAAGAGAACTTTCAAAATGAGCCGTGCTTGAATTGTAGGCCAGAGTCTTTTATTAACTCACCTAGGACCATGGTGAGCAAGCTGCAATTTACTATTTATTATGTGGTTGCTCAGTTTGTTGGGCATCAGTTCAAGTTAAAAAAAGAATCTGTGCAGCACTGCTCTGGAGAAGAAAATTTCGAACCTTTTGATTCACACACAATGTGGGTGATCAGGGATCTCATGTGGGCTCTTTGCATTTTGCTTCCTGTCTTGAAATCAGACTGCACTGTGCTCTCATTCCTTGTCCAGCTTCATACCCAGTGTCCACTAGCATTAGCTCATTGATGCTAGTGCACATTGCTTGAAGACTTAGCCTCTTACCTTCAAAGCCAGGGTTTGTGCCAGGCCAGAGCAGAGTATCTGACACTTCTCAGTACCCAGATGGGCACCATGGAGTATTCTGAACCGAGCATTATTGTGAAACCACAGCTCTTTGACAGATCTTCCCCCCACCTGCAACAAGTCGACTTCCATCTTGCTGGTGCTGCCTGTGCCTTCGCTGTTGACTGCCCCTGTGGAACAGTCCTCAGAGGCTCCCATAAAAATGGGCTGGTTTGTGCTTCTTATTTCACCTCATCAAACTGGATTTCAAGAACAGGTTGTACTTCTATTTACTTCAAACCCCGCTTCCTGCAGTTTCTGGGTATGCTATTTATAGGCACTCCTGGAAAAATCGTCGTTGTACGATACTTCTTCCTAAGGCTTTGTGTCACTAAGAAGCACCACTGTAGTGGCAGGATTGCTGTCTGCAGACTAAGCCAAGCATCCCCTGGCCATGTTGTAGCCTAGCTCCCAGCAGTTTATGGCCACTTGCTACCTTGAAAAGTGCCTGCTTACAAACAGTGCCTGCTTACAAACATGCTTGTGGGACTGCACAGATCCAGAAGCAATCATTTGCATGCTGGTCTGGTCTTAGCTCAGAGCAGATTTGTTCCAGGCAGTGGTTGGGAGGCAGATGACAATGGGGAGCATCTTGCAGAGGGCAGCCCCACTTGTAGTGAATTGCATGGACCAAGATCTTAGGTAATTTGTTAACCACACAAACAGAAAGAAAACAAAGAAAGAAAGACGTGGGACTGCTGTGCAGTGAGGATGGGGTTGTTTTAAAAACAATCTAGGTCTGACCCCAGACCTAAATTAACACTGTGCATCTGTTTTCAGTAGTAAAGATGTGGAACACGGAGGCAGAGGCAGGATGGCTAATGCAAGCGAGGGTATAAAAATAGAAATGACTACATCCAAGGTGGAAGCTAATCCTAAAAATTTACTATGTTCAAGCTGTGGGGACCAGATAATCCCCATCCCACTATGCTGAAAGAAGTGACATATGAAGTGGCAAATCTAGTAGCAAGGATTTTTGTTAAAACTATCAAGTCAGGGGTAGTACCTATATGACAGACGAACAGTAAATGTATCCTTTGTGGTTAAGAAAGAGGGAAAAAGTGATAGAGGCATCTCCAAGTCTATTAATCTGGCCTCAATGCTATGCAAGACTTTAGGATAAATTTTGCAGAAAAGAGTAATTAAAGACATTGAGATAAATGGTAAATAGCATAAAAGAAAGACCAATTCCCCCACCAGACTAAATCAGTATCTTTCTTGAGAAGATAATTTCTCATGTCCAGAAAAATTAGTTAAGTAGAACTCATCTATCTGAGCCTTGATAAAGCAGAAGGCAAGGCAGTATAGCACTGTATAGACCAACTTGTCCAGAGAGGCATTGACAGCAGGGATGGGCCAAATACAGCCCATGGGCTATATGCAGCCTGCCCGAGGATTCTGCCTGGCCCACAGCAGGCGTGCAGTGGGGTGGGGGTGGCATGGCAGCTGGATTTAGCTTCCCAGCAGCCCTGGTGGCAGTGGCTACTTCTAGCTGCTGCTGCCAGTGTCTCTGTCACTGCTGGACCGAGCCCCGCTGCCTGGGTACCCCAGCCCATCCACCCTGTCCCCACTGCTGGGGGCACCACATGGAGTGGGCAGGCAGGGGGATGGGGTCTCCATGGAAACCAGCCCAGGACCCCTGCAAGTAGGGCCTGCTCAGCCAGGTGGATGGGTTGGGGCACAGGCAGCTAGGGAGCAGTGTCTGGGATTGGGATGGGTGTGCGTGGCCAAGATGTGGGATGGTGAGAGCATAGGGCTGGAGCCATGGCTGGGGCCAGGGCCATGGCTAGGGCTAGGGCCAGGGCCAGGGCCAAGTCAATACCTTCCCTCTGCTGTGCTGGGTCAGGACCCACCCCCTCCAGCCCACAATAGCTCATCAACACTCCTTAAGTGGCCCTCCAGCCCAAATAACTGCCCACCCCTGGGCTACATCCTATTTTGTCAGATTCTATGAATGGCTTTGCAGAGATCAAGGGTACCAAATAGAAAGGAATAAGGTCACTTAAATACAAATGATGGGGAAGGAAAAGAGGGGGCATTGCTGAGAGAGGGAAAGGTAGACTGAAGCCACCTAAAGGGATAAACAAAGGAGTTACCTCGCTGAGGGACATAGGGGTTATACAGAATAGTCTTCGTGATGAGATAAGAATCTAGAGTCTCTGTTGAGACCATACTTAACACGATTCAGTCTGTGGGTGGGTCTTTGTTCTGCAAGTATGCTGAAAGGGTAGGGGTGGGTGCAGCAAGGGATAGGAGATACTCTGTTTACCAGGGCATCCCTTGAAGTAACTAGGAACAATGGCCACAAACTGAGAGAGAGCAGATTTAGGTTAGACATCAGGAAGAATTTCTACACGGTGTGGGTTGCCAGAATCTGGAATGGGCTTCCATGGGAGGGGTGCTGTCCCCTACCCTGGAGGTCTTTAAGAGAAGACTGGACAAACACCTGCCTGGGGTCATCTGCATGAATGACGCGTGCCCCTGGAGTCTGGAGGGGCACAGCGACTGCACTCAGGCGGCGGCGGCGGCAATGGCAGCAGTGGGGGCGTGGCTCTGGCAAGCAGGGAGCTCCCACAGGTGGCTGCAGCAGTGTCAGTGGCGGTGGGGGTGGGGGAGGGTTGGCAAGTGCCAACCAGTGGTCAGCAACCAGATGCTGGCAGCGGTGTCGATGGGGGGGGAACCAGCGACCTTCTTGCAGGGGGTGCACCACCAAACTCAGCGGGTGCACATGTACCCATGTGCACCCCCTACACATCACCAATGGTCATCTGACCCCAGCACTCTTTCCTGTCCAGGGCAGGGGGTCGGACTTGATCTACTGAGGTCCCTTCTGACCCCCAAAATCTATGAAATCTATGAAAACCTGCTAGGAGGATCATGGGAATGGAGAGCAATTGTGGGAGAAGAGACAAAAATAACTGGGCCTGTTCAGCTTAGCAAAAGGAAGACGGAGAAGATGTTAATAGGGATATAGGGCCAGATTCTATTCTACCTATTAGACGCATAAGTGAATTTAGGTGCCTAAGTGTGATTCTGTTTCACACAGCTTTGGGGTCTGAAAAACAGTTAATGGTAGCATGATTAGGGGTGGGAGAGAGGGGCACCTGCCCTGGGCATCAAGTTAGGAGGGGTGTCAGGATTGCCCTCCACCGTTGCAGAATCCATGCCCTGGCTGCATTACCATGCTGGGAACTCTGAAACAGTTCCAGGATGCTGTTGCTTTAAAAGCAACAGAGCCAGGGGTTGGCAGAGCAGGTGGGGCAACAACAGCTCTGCCAGCTGCCCACCTCTGCTCTTGGACCTGCTGCCCCCTCTCCCACCCACTCTCAGAATGCATCCCCCCACCCCTCTGCTCAGAACCCAGGGACCCCCCCCACTGCACACACACTTTGCCCCAGGTGCTAACTTGGTTTGTTACACCACGGCCAGTTAATAGAAAAGGTGGGTGGATTCTCATCCTTCTCATGGCTTTTGCGGGGCTCAGTCTTAAGGGTTATATGGCAGTTACAAAAGTAGATGCATTCATGGAGTTTCAGGGACTCTAGCAGGTGGAAAAAACCTGGCCCATAGTTTGCAAAACATGGGAGAAGATAATACTATGGTATTTGTATGCAATTAGGCCTCAGCTGGATTACTGCATGCAGTCCTGGGCTCCACATTATAAGAGGAGTGTGGAGAAACTGGAGAGGATCCAGAGTCAAGCAACAAAGATAAGAGGGTTGGAATGCAATGTGAGGGAAAGTTGAAAGTGCTAGATATGTTTAGTTTGTAGAAAAGGAGATTACAAGAGGATATGATAACAGTTTTCAAATATCTAAAAGGCTGGGGAGCAACTGTTTTCCCTCACATCAGAAGGAAGGACATGAAACAATGGGTTTAAATTGCAGCAAAGCAAATTTAGATTAAAACATGGGGAACAAAAATCCTTATTGTCAGGACAGTGAAAGCAGCTGCTCAAGGAAGGCAATCTCTTTCAGGAACAGTCTGGACTGGCATCAATCTGGGCTGCTTCAGGAACAGCACATCCTGCATTTGGGCAGGGGTTTGGGGCTGGATGACCCCCAGGGATCCTTCCAGATCCTTGGGTTCTACAATTCTCTGCCTTTCACTGGGGTATCTCTGTAACCCTTGCAAAATGGGGACTGTCTCAGCCGTTGCCAGACCCCAGACCCTCAGATGTTCACCCAGCTCCCCATTTGCTCAAAAGCTAGATGTGTTCAGCCCTGGCATTTTGATTTGGGTCCATTCTCTATAACCTTTTGAAAACAGTTATTAGTGTGGCTAATGCTCAGTGGGGAAAATGCACCCTCTCAGAAAGGGGAGGCAGGTCCATGATGATAGAATCCATCTAAGCTAGCGGACAAGAGAAATAAGTCAGAGACTAGAGAGCTGTATGTATATTGGATGCTCATACCCCTAAATCAGGGAGCTTGCAGCTGTTGGGTCAATCATTGAAGCAGATGAGGGGAAATGAATTACATCTGTCCTTCTACACATCAAGACTGAGCATCTACCCACCTTTGCAGCCACCCATCATCTGTCCATTGTTTCAGGGCTTTATACTGTGCCAATCACCACCTTATAAAATGATAGACTTTTACAGTTTTGTTCGGTGCTGACCTTCCACGGGACCTCACTTCCCAGACCATTGTGCATCTTTCTCTGGGCTGATTCAGACAGAGACGCTTGGAGCCCATCTTGGGCTCTGTTGCCCCCTTCACTCCTCTCTCCCGATTATTTTGAAATCATCTCTGGAAAACGATCTAGTCAATCGCCTCCTATTTCTGATTCAGAACTTAATGAATGTGTGGTGCGAGGGCCGGGTACAGGTTGCCACGGCAACCCTAATAGTCCTTGACAGCTTAACCCACTCTGAAATCACATTGTTCTGTTCCTGTTGGCAAGGATGTTTGTGTTCACAGGGGAAAGGAAAACATGTTCTAGAAACATCACCAGTTTGCAGAAGCCTCAGCCTGGCCCTCCGAGGATGGTTGGCTGTTCCTTTGGGAGCTGCTACCCCATGCTGCTGGGCACGCCAACAGGGCCCCCCAGGTGTACTCCCCCAGCCCTAAGACATCCATGTGCAGGAGAGTGCAAGCCTTCCCAGCTGTCAGCTTCATCCTCGTTGCTCTGAGCACCCCCAGCTCCCCGGGATGTGGCACTGCTCTTTCATAACAATGGGGAAACTGAGGCAAAGGTGGGGAAGGGACTCAGTCAAGGACACACAGCTAGTCGGCAGCAGAGGAGGGAACAATCCTGATTGCCATAGGACTCCTATGAACTTCTATTAGCCCACGATTTTTCAGGGCTAAAAAGATGACTGTGGGCAGTGCCTTGTGACCCTTCTGGGGGAAAAACCCCAAGGGAAATGACTCTTTGCTGAGTTAAATAAGGTGTTGCCCACCATGCCCAAATCACCAGACTATATGGCCACTACCCCTGTGCTTACCAGAGCCACCATACAGACAGGTCCAGTTGGACTCTGTGGGATCAGAGTTTGCTTGCCTGGGTGGCTTGGGCTTTTTGAGGGACAAAGGGATTGCAAAGTGGCCACTGAACCTGTGTCCCTCCTCCAGGGACTCTGCACACCCTCCCAGGGGTAAGGGGTTCAAAGAATCAGAGAAAACTAGGGCTGGCAGGGCCCTCAGGAGGGCATCTAGTCCAGCCCTCAGATAAAGGTAGGACCAGCCCTTTCTACACCAGCATGGACCAATGTTTAATTAACCTGCACTTAAAAATGTCCAGGAGATTCCACAGCTTCCATAGGTGATCTGCTCCAGTGCTTGACCATCCTTTGAGCTAGGCTGAATGTTTCTGCACCACTGGGAGAAGATCCATCTTTTGCTTTTTTTTAGCACCAATCTAACTCCCTGAGATACTTACCTGGTCCCAGGACTGCTACATCTCAGTGCTCCACAATTTGGGATGCACTGACCCTCACACACACCTGAATGGCAGGGCAGGGCTGTCATTCCCACTGTGCAGATGGACAAACTGAAGCACAGAGTGGTTCTGTGGCTTGTCCAAAGACACACAGTCCACTAACCTCTATCGGTTTCATGGTTAGTGCTCTAGCCGCTGGACTCTCCTTTCTTTCTTTTCCTGTTCACTATCTTGTATCTATCTCGCTAGGTTTTAAAAAGTAGAGCTCCTTCAGGCTCTCCAGCCAGATCACTGCCTCATTTGGCTTAAGCCTGGGGCCTTACTCTGAGAATATCTGTCTGACGCTAAAGCTTTCCCTGCCCTGGAAGTTTTTAACGTATAAGCTCTGGGTAGGGCACAGCGTTGTCTGTATCGGCCGTTTTAACTCCTCCTATGAAGATCACCTGCCAGAACGTGCCTGGCCACTTAGAGCTTCTCTGGTGCAGCTGAGGTTACACACGCTAGGAATGGCTCTGTCCACTGACACTGGCTATCAATAGAGCCGCACTAGGACTGGCAAAGGAGTGGGAGATTCTTTTTAAATGTCCATTGAGGACACAGCCCAGCCAGGGCCAAATTAACCCTTTAGTGGGCCCTAGACAAACAAGCTCGTGGGCTGGTCATATCCCCTCCCCACCCCCGTGTTGCTGCCCATGGGGAGCAGGGCTTGGAGCCACCTCTAGGAAGTAGCCACCATGGTGGTGAGACTGGCAGAGGGAAGGGGAAGGAAAGGAAGGCAGATGAGGCCATTTGCGCTACAGCCATAGAGGGATGGATTGGGGCCCACCTGCAGCTCAGGGCCCTGGGCATGTGCCTAATTTGCCTACCTGTTAGTCCGGCTCTGAGCTCAGCCTGAGTTGCACTTTACATGTAGGGACTGGTCAGGAAGGAAGCTTTGAGCTCTGAGGGTGAAGACACATGTTTCCATGAAAGCATACTAACGGCACTGAAAATGCAAGCATTGGTACATTAAAATTTTTTAACTTGTGCTAAGTGCCTTCTGACATTACAAAATTATATCACTTCAGGTGGGGATTAGCACTGGGCTGTGTTATCTAGCTCATGTTAGGGTAACTTCAGTGTGCTCCATGGAGATGGTTTCCATGAGGAGGAAACCTCTGGAGAGGAGGCCACTCCATACACAGAACGGGCTGGAGGAGGCAAGCTGACCCGGAGGAAGAGATGCCAGGTATTCGTCATAGGTGACTCCATCCTGAGAGGATCAGAGGGTCCCATCCATTGCCAGGATCCAATGACACGTGAGGTCTATTCTCTACCCGGAGCATAGATTCAGAACATGACAGAGATGATCCTGGCCCTCATCTGGCCCACTGATTACTACCCCGTGGTCCTAATTCACGTGGGCACTAATGATGCAGCCAGGAGCAGTGCACACCACCTGATGAAGGACTGCCAAGCACTGGGGGACAAGCTGAAGGAGATAGGGGCACAGGTGGTCTTCTCATCGATCCTTCCAGTGAGCGGGCATGGAAGATGCCATGAGACCTGCATCTGGGACCTCAACTTGCAGCTTTGGGAATGGTGTCTTGCGGCGGGCTTCGGCTTTCTGGACCACGACCCTCACTTCAGGACAAGAGACATGCTCGGGTGGGATGGGCTTCACTGCTCCCCAAAAGGTACGTGTGTGTTCTCTTCCAGGTTGGCTGATTTCCTCCGGCGGCCTTTAAACTAGGCACGTCGGGGGAGGGGGAGGAAGAGGACCAAGGGAGCCACAGACACCGAACCAAGAGACACCCACAAATACAGCCCAGCCAAGTCAGACGA